TACGAAATTGGGAGTGAATATTTTAGAATTTTTGAAATTAGGTTTAGCTATTAAAGTCTCGGCACCAAGAAAGCGTCGAGAATTTTGCCAATGAGTGACTAATTTTACATCAACTAGTTTATCAACGTTCTCCATTGTTTTTCCGAAAACACTAATGTTTATTAATTTGAAGAAGGATTTCCCAAATTTATTTTCAGACAAATGTCGTTGTCGGGTATTTAAATCGATGAAAGGTTTGAGCCAGTGGGACTGTTTAAACTGGATAACTCTGTGAGCTTTAAGTAATCGTAGTCCATTATGAACGGCTTGTTGAAGCGTAAGATAATGAAGAATATATTTTGTCTTATTCATAAGGTTCGGTATCAGTTTTTTGACTTTACCATTCACATTACCAGGAGAGATAATGTTTTCAACTAAAAAGGGGAGATCAGCATGTAAATCATGGAGGTGTTGGGGATATTCAACATCTACTTCAAGTACGTAACCGTATTCAGAAGAAGCATGTAAAGAGAGAACATTCAATTCATCAATTTCGGCTTGGGTTAGCCAACGGAAGTGGGAAATAGGAAGTGCTTGACTCATACTACGTCCATACAAATTAGTAGCATCCAAATACATAATGTAGGAGGTAATCGCGGACGCGTTGTAATCGGGGATGTGAGGGTTGTTAGCGAAGTGCATTCTTTGAACGCATTGACTTACGTACCCCTTCTGGAAAAAAGTTGTAAACTAACGCGAGTGAATTTTAACATACTATCCCACGCAAGCGCTGGCGCTGTGTAATACTGAACAGGATCTAAGTCGTAAGTGGTGAGACATATTAGTCAAAAATTTTCGAAAACATCAGCTAGCAAAAGAACATCTGTTTTCAAGTAAATATCAGAGTATTCTCCCAGAGTTGAACATGAGAAAGTATTCCAAACAGTTTTAGCTCTTTTATAATCGTCATCGGTAACGGGGAGGGAAGTCAATTTATCGAAGAAATCGTCTTTCTGCGGAAATATTGTTTCATCAAGCTTAGCAACATTATCAACGTAGGAATAAGGGAAAACACCTTTCCGTCGCACAAGTTGAAAGTGATTAGGATCGGGAAAGTATTTCTTCACTTGCAAACATTGATGAGCATCAAGTTCATCCGACAGCTTGTCGAGGGAGGAAGCCATGAAACGAAAGGAATCAAGAAATCTAATCTTCACGAACACATTTTGTGTTGAATCATCTGTTTCAGTTTGAACCGTATCAACTCGTAATAATTTGGAAAAGGATATGTATTTTTCTTTATTTTGAGCCTATTACGATAAATTTAACATCGTTCACAGTCATTTCCTTTAGAAACAAGTGGCAATCATATCCGGAAAGGTTGTGGAAAAAAACAGGTACAAAGTTGGGTAGTTTGTAATTTAAATTACATCTGGAGTGAGCAGCTCCTAATCGAACTTTACCGGTCAAATGACAATGATCATGCACCTTGACGTCATTGTCCAGAAAGGGTTCTTCGCAAATATTGCAAGAGGTAGCGTCGGAGAAGTGACGTATTTCTTCATCTGTCAGGGATATCATGGGAGAAACGAGCTTCAAATATCGATGATAAATATCATAAACATCTCGATCGAGAGTTGTAACGAATTGATTGACACAATCGGGGCCTCGATATGATCTGAATTTGGAGAAGGAATCATCAAAGGAGCACTTCATCAAATAAGCAAAGGAATGAGGTTGATGTTTGTTGGTGGATGTGGTAGCGGTCTTGTTAGGGTCATGAAAACATGTATGAATTGGTCGCAATACGGTTTCAAAGTTTGAGTATACAACAAATGGTACCTTGATACGTTTCTGATAATTTTAAAATGTGATTGGGGACAAACCTACCCACCTTATCCATCTTGAAATCACCGTTGGGAAGGCTGGTGTAGGCATGATTACAGTCATGCTGCTGATGACGATGTTGGTGGAGTAAAGTGGAGAAGTATTGTAGGCAACCGTCGCAGTTTTAAAAAGTTGTTGAGAAAGTAAACGGGACATGTCCTTTATCCAACAGCAGTGATTATTTCCTAGATCATCATCGAGCAAGAGCAGATTGAAGTGTAGCCGTCGCTTGATGGGTGAGTAGTAAAGGGGGCCAACGATTTCTCATATCCACTTTCCATCTTTCAAAACAGATTCAGTCCCGTAGACATTCACAGAGCAATTGTTCTTTGAGTCAAATTTCGGTATGTCAGTTAATTTCATAGGAAATTGGATACCTTCGTAGTCCAAAGTGCGGGAGTAATGTGGATAGGAAGTAGTTCTTTGCGGGTTCGCTTGTGCGGGATACAGAGCTAACGTAATTGCCCATGCGAAGCAGGCCTGATCGTCGTTTCGCATATTCACAACCGCTTTCTTGAGTAAAATTTGTTTCGGTAACGGAATGTAGGAAAACGCTCTCAGCGGATTGTATTTGTTAAAGTTGATTTCAAGGAAAAGAACCCATCCTGTAGAAATGGGGAAACGTTAAATGAAATGAAACGTATACTAAAAAAATGAGTTACCTGACTCTCGTTCTTGAAACTCTAACGCTTTTGCTTCAAGTATCTCAAAGAAGTTTTGTAGAAGATTCGGAAGATCGATCGATCTAGTCACAACTTTGTTGTTGGTGTTGAAGGATTTAATTTCAACCAACTGCTTGGTTTCGTGCACGTAACGTCCAAAAACTTCAAGATTTATTTTAAGCGTGTCGTGGAGGTGGATCTGATTAGGTATAACACGCAAGCATTTTTCGAGAACATCGGTGAAAAAGTCGTTATACGATAGAAGGTATTTCGCAGACGTAATACGAAACGAAGCAATCCTGCTAGCGAAAGCGTTGTACGAAGATTGAGGAACATATATTTTGCACCTTTCACACCAGCGGTCGGAATAGGTGGCAGATGCAACACATTTCGGTTTTTTATTCGGTAGCGAGGAATTAGGATGGTACTGTACTCGTTCAGATCGCGTAACCGACGTATCGCAGTCGGGACAACGAATCATATCGGTTAGATGTAACAGAGGTGTCTCGAGAAAGACTGAGGAAGACCGTGTGCGAAGTAGATTTAACAATGCAAAAAATTTGGAGTGGTAGAAAATTAAGAAGGTGAGGGTTGTGAGGGGGTGGGGTGGTTTCAAGATATTTAAGAGACATGTATAGAGGAAAAGATTAAGTAAAATGGCTGAATTGGGACAGTGTGATGCGGCAGATGCGTCAGTGATTAGCTTGGACGAATCGGAGCTGTCAGCGATGCTGGAGGAGTTCTTCCACAACGATGAGTTGGTGACGAAAACAGTCGGTGGAGGAAAATCATGTGTAGGAGAAGTAGCCACGGAAAGGATAGCAGTACCTGTGGCTAGTACATCGCGGGCGCCGGCAGGGGGCGGTAAATCCGTATAAGTATGATGCCTAAGAAGCGGACATACAACAGAAGAGTGTCGGGCGGTCCGTTGGATTATTCAAAGCTGGTGGACCAGGTGCGAGAAGCAGTGAAGACACTTCAACGGGAGAAGCGAAAACGGGAAGGTGAAATAAAGGACCATAACATGAAGGACGCTTCAGTTTTGGAACAAATAAAGCGGAAAGAGAAAGAGTTGGAGGATCTGAAGAAAAGTCGTGAAAGCAGCTGTAGAATGGTGGTGGAAGGTAGAAAGCGAGTGGAAGAGGTGGAGCAGAAGTTAAATGAATTGTAAACACAATTGTTGAACATATTTAATTAATATTGTAAATATAGTAACATAAAATAAAAGATTGTATTATAAGATGATTTTATTTAATAATTTTCTCTTGAAGGAATGATGATGGGTAATTCAGTTATATATATGTGATTGAAGAAATATTTTTGTTTCCAATATTATTGTTCAATGCTTTCAAGATGACTGTATTGTAGATGTATGGAAAAATAAGATGTTACGATGTTGGCATCGTATTNAGTGTAGCCACTCTCTGTAGTCGTATATGATGAGAGATGTGACTATCAAAGTTGTGGTTCTGAGAAGAACCGATTTAGTAATACCGTTGGACACATTATCTGCATCATTGATGATCCCAAGGGTTGACACTTTATCAGCATCAGAATAATAGTGAGCCTGGTGTTAGACTAATTTTATTCAATTCTTTACAAGCTATTTATACAAAAATTATTTACATTAGTTTAATGGCAATAGTTAGTTCAGCAGTTTACATATGTGTGTGTAAATGTCTATGACCTAGTTAGCCGCACTGTACCGCGATTTTACTAAGTCGGTAGAAATGATGAACTTTAATTATTACACATTTGAATTGTTTACTGCTATACCGAGTGTTCCCACATAGTGAACATCCAAATATTGTCATAGGAAAAATAGATACCATATGCGAGTATTGTCATGCACGGAAATTTAAAGGCGAAACCGCTGGTCAGTTTACCAGCCTCAGATGTACCACCACCACAATTACTTGCATGTATGACTGGAAAAACACCAGATTCCAATCAGTTTCTGAAAATATACATTACATTAATATGTCAGGAAGGAAATTGCAGTCCGGTTTTTAAGGTTCAAGGCCAAATTTATCACCGAGTAGGTTCACTTCTGCCGATGTCTAATGAAACTCCAAAATTTCTTCAAATATACTTTGTTGGTAAGGAAGAAATTGAAACAGACCAACGTTGCTCTAATATTCAGTGACTACAACGAGATATTATTCAAATATAACTACCTCTACTTCATAATCATAATCAACTAATCCATGTCAACATGAACGAAGGTTCAATGCACCTCAAACGAACGAAGTTGCCGTAGTCATTGTTGATAACGAATGTAGTCATCGTGATATTATTATCCAACGTCGAAGTAATAAATTGCAACGTATTGCTGAAACACATCGTATAGCTATGAAGCGCTGCAATATCCGCTAATTTGGTTATCACTTCAATATTGAACAAATAAATCCAACTACAGGTTTCGAAACTAACAAAAAAGTATCAGCTATGCAATTTTATGCTTATCGAATTATGACTAGAAATGGTGAATATTGTTGTGGGTTGTACCTACTAGCTAGGAAATTTATTCTTGGAACACGATAAGTACAGGTTTTCCCGTGACCAGCTACCTGAACTACCCCGTGCTACAACCAAACTTACCTACAATAGCAACTTTTATCTTCTATTTTTAATTCCCTTATGTATTTATATTTTACTTTACTCTTGTTCGTTTATTCCCGCTGTTTGGTTGTAGTTTCCTACTTAATCCCTTCTTTTTCTCTATTTTTTTGACTTCTTTACTTTCTTCGTGCAACCATCTTTTTTTTCTTTTTTTTCTATTTTTATTCATTTCTATCGTAGAACCACCGCTCTTCTTTCTAACACTATATTCTCATGCATGCCCTGTCGTTTCCTGTAGTTAGTTTTTTATTTTTTTCCGCGAAGTTAACGATAAAAGCGAATTCGTTTTTATCATTACCTTTCGCCCTTCTCTTATCACCCCAGCCACCCCCGTTTTCATTGCTTTCGCCTAGCCGTTAGCCCCCGAGTGCCAGTTGTTGAGTAAGTGTTCCAACCACCGTTTTTTTGGTCTTGCTCAGACCTTTTTTGTATATATATATTTCTTGCCTGTATTTGTATTTTTTTCACTGTATATGTTTTGTTTCATGTTTGTTCTTACTTATTGTTATTCTAGATGTAGTGTTAGTATATAAGTTAACTAGGAAAATATGGAAGGTGGGGTACAGAAGACATGGAAATGGCCTTAACAGCATATAAGAGTGGTGTAAAAAGTTTAAGTGAATGTAACCGAGATTACGGTATTTCAAAAGCGACCCTTCTGCGACATATTAGAAATACAAATAAAACTGCTAAGGGATCTCGCAAGGTGTTAGGCCGAAATCCTACATTCAACAAAGAAATCGAAAAATTATTGTGTCATCATATACTGGAATTTTCATGGGGTTTGTTTGGATTGACTATTAGAGATGTCCGCAGGTTAGCGTTTGACCTTGCCGAAAAGAATAGCATTCCTCATCAGTTCAATAAAGAAAAGAGGGCAGCAGGCAAGAAATGGTACTACAATTTCATGAGAAGAAATGAAAACTTGTCACTACGTCAGCCTGAATCCACCACGCTTAACCTAATTAAAGGTTTTAATAAACAAAATATTACGGAATTCTTTGACTTGTTGCAAAAATTATGTGACACACACAAAATAGATACAACAAGGATATTTAACATGGACGAGTCAGGCTTTTCAACTGTAGCCAAGAAATGTCAAAGGGTTATAAATCTAAAAGGTGTGAGGGCAGTTGGATCCGTTTCAAGTGGTGTGAATACCACAGCAGTGTGCTGCGTTAGTGCAGCAGGGTGCTATATACCACCACTGTTAATCTTTAAGCGTAAAAGGTATACAGCAGAATTGAGTAACGATGCTCATCCAGGAAGTCCAGTTGAAATATCAGATACGGCTACATAACATCTGAAATTTTTGTGAAATGGTTGCGGAATTTTATCAACATTGTTCATCCTTGCAAGGAAAGAAAAGTACTGTTGTTATTGGATGGACATACCACACACTGTAAAAATTTGGAAGCTCTGCTTCTTGCAAGAGAAAACGGTGTTGCTTTATTACAATTGCCGGGGCTTACAACGCACCGACTTCAGCCCCTTGATCGGTCATTTTTTAAGCCTATGGAAGTTTATTACTCCCAAGCAACAGAAACATGGCTTAGAAGCAACCCTGGACGTGCAGTAACGCAGTACCAAGTAGCTGGATTAATAAACGAAGCTTATAGTAGAGCAGCTACTGTTAAAAATGCCATTAACGGCTTCAAATCGGCAGGTGTTCGGCCAATTAACAGATACGTATTCCAAGATAGTGACTTTGTAGCTTCAAATCGTCTCACCAGAAATTTTTCGCCACGGAGCACTAAAACTAACAAAGAAAATGACGGGGAAGACAGCGAGGATGACAACGTCCCTTTGTCAATTTTGAAAGTAGCATGTCAAAGTATCATTTTCATTTTCATACTGTTCACAGAAACTGACATGTACAACTTATTACATGCTTTTTATTAGGTTCAATTTTGGATACTATCGGTTCAAATTGAGCAACCCGTTCCCCAAATTGAATCATTTGCATCTACAAATATTTTTGTTAATAACCATCTTAATAATTTTGATAACTCCATTTGCTTTTAGTGTTATGTGAATAAATGTGTAGTAAATATTTCTGTACAACTAGCGACTTCCATTTTAATTTCTTGGCGAGTTGTGGCAGATTTTATAAAATGTGATTCAATATGGGTGACTTTACCCTAATGCTTACACTAACTGACATCGTCAAGAGCCAATAACATCATGTGACCAGTAACAGCAACCGTTTAACAGTAACCACTTAACAGTTTACGATCGATGACGTTTCGTCACTTACCTACTCCTCTGTGCTAGAATCGGTTATCTTACCCTACTAGGCAGATTTATATTCAGCCTTAACTGCTATAGATGGAGGTCAATCTTGCAATAGTGCTGCTGATCGTTACAAAATTTCAGATGCCGATATGCAAGGAAACGGCGCGAGGGGAAATGTTCACCAGAACATAGAGGAAGATTTCGAGATACCTTGACCCAAAGTGACGCTCTGGCAAAATACATCAAAGATATCGACAGAAGAGCATTTAGGCTTACAAAAATACAACTCGGAAGACTAGTTTTTGACTAAACAGAGCAGAATAACATCACTCATAGATTCAACAAAAAATTAAAAATGGCAGGCAAGGATTGGATACAATCTTTTTTGAAAAAATACAAAATTAGTCTCCGAACTCCTGAAGCTACATCGATAAGACGCCTAATGGGTTTTAACAAAGTTGCAGTACAGAATTTGTTTTAATTTTAAAAGAAATTCGTCTAAAATACTACTTTGATGCATGCCAAATTTATAATGCAGATGAAAACGGACTTTCATCTGTACCCACGAAGTTGCCAAAAATTTTGTCTCCTACTGGATCACGCCGTGTTGCCAAAATAGTTACTGCAGAGCGTGAAAAAAACGCCACAATTGTGTGCGCCTGTAATGCACTGGGAAATTATATTCCACCTTTTTTTATTTTTAAACGAGTTCGTATGAAAGATGAACTGCTGTTTGGAGCACCTCCAGGATCCACAGGTAGTGCTCAACAGAATGGCTGGATGTCTACCGAGATATTAGTGAAATATTTAAAACATTTCCAAAAGTATACTAACTCTACACTTGAAAGGCCAGTTCTTCTGCTAGTCGATAATCATTCGTCCCACATTTCGCTGGAAGAAACAAATTTTTGCCGAGAAAACGGAATCGTCATGGTAGGATTTCTACCTCACACCAATCACAGGTTGCAGCCTTTAGATGTGTCGTTTTTTGGACCTTTAAAAACGTTTTTCTCACAAGAATGCGATTCATTTGTTGTCATTAATAGTGGCGAAGTTGNTCCAGGATCCACAGGTAGTGCTCAACAGAATGGCTGGATGTCTACCGAGATATTCGTGAAATATTTAAAACATTTCCAAAAGTATACTAACTCTACACTTGAAAGGCCAGTTCTTCTGCTAGTCGATAATCATTCGTCCCTTATTTCGCTGGAAGGAATAAATTTTTGTCGAGAAAACGGAATCGTTATGGTAGGATTTCCACCTCACACCACTCACAGGTTGTAGCCCTAGTCGTTTTTTGGACCTTTAAAAACGTTTTTCTCACAAGAATACGATTCATTTGTTGTCAATAATAGTGGCGAAGCTGTGACTGACAAAACATTTGCCGAATTTTTACCAAAGCCTATGTAAAAGCTGCAATGGTTGGAAACGCAATGCAAGGATTCAGAAGATGTGGAATAGAACCATTTGATCCGTACATTTTTGGCGAAGAAGACTACGCCGCAGCTGAAACTTCAGAAAGAGAATTTATTCCGTAAGAAGCTCCTCCAAAAGCAGAGGCCACCGTTATTTCACACAAAATCACCAATTCTCCAGAAGATTCGTCGGAAGATAAACTGCCTTTGAGTCAATTTGTAAAAAGTGTAAAAAAATATTCTTGTTCCATCCTAGTAGAAGAACCACCGACCGAAAATAATATACATATACAGACTAATAACTCTGTACTATCTAATAACAATAAGGCCAAACCAGTAGGCCCAGATGTGTTAAAAGTAAAAAGAGATATTTTTGGATCATGCTATAATAAAAATATCCAACGCCTTGGTCTTAGTGAAATTAAAAATAAAGATCCCGGCCCCAGTGGACTTCCGAATAAAGATATTCAGCGTCCCGGTCCCACTGGCATTCAGAATAAAGATATTCAACGTCCTGGTCCTAGTGGAATAAATGAAAATGTTATCCAATCAAAATATCCCAACCGTTGCATTAATGAAAATAATAATGCACAAAATGTAGGAATATTCTTATGGAACATACGGCCTTTTCCAAAATATGAAAGACCTGAAAATAAAAGAAGAAAAAAAGTGGTTGCATGTATAATTGCAAGTACCCCAAACAGCTACAGGAAAAATTAGAGGTTGAGAAGCATAAAGAAGAGGCCAGAAGATTGAGAATTCAGAAAGAGACGGGAAAAGGTACAAAAAACAGGAAAAAAGTCACCCCTCCACTACAGGAGAAAGTGAAGAAACGATATGGCCAGGTTGTCACGAAAGGTTTGTAGATCCGCCTGTAGAAGACTGGACCCAGTGTTCGAAGTGCCAAAGGTGGTGGCATGACTACTGTAGTGATTATTTAGGAGTTATGCAATTTATGTTAATACTTCATCTTACCCACATAAGTTCGTCATCTTAGCCTACTACTGGGTAAGATGACGAATTTTGCACAAAACTAGAATTAAATTCTTTTTAAATAGATATATTTACTTTTTTGTATTAAAAATTTGAGATAACATATAAAAACAATTATCAGTATTAAAAGAAATAAATATATTTTGTTAGCATCGCCAATTTACCCGACTTTCCCCTATTTCAAATCTTC